AGGAGTTGTGGGGGCCGAGGCAGAGGTGGGCAGGGGCAGGCAGGCAGGCAGGCGAGTGGTTAGGGGTGATCAGGCAGGCAGGTATTTGGTTATGGGTGATGAGGCAGGCAGGCAGAGTAGTTAGGGTGCTCAGGCAGGCAGGTAAGCAGTTAGGGGTGATCAGGCAGGCAAGTGAGCAGTTTGAAGGCAGTGGTCCCAGATTGTGAGAGGGATGTCCGAGGGGGTCCCAGATTGCAAGGGTGCAGGCTGGGCTGAGGGACACCCGCCTCCAGCCCTGTCCACGAATTTCGTGCACTGGGCCTCTATTATACAATAATAGAAGGTAAGTGGAAGAAAGAGAGCTAGCTAATTTGAGAAACTATCAAGTGTCATGTCCTTTAATACGTTCTCTCATTAAATGTAGTGCTTGTAAGCTCCCAGGGCAGCAGCAAGTACCATTTCCCCTATTTACCATGAGGAAACTAAGGCTGAGAAAGGTAAAGTTACTTGGTCAAGTCACACAGCCAGCAAGTGGTGAAGCCAGAATTTGAACTCACCTTACATCAATTTCATTTTCAATCTACTAATGGACACAGTTCCACACTGCCCTCCCCCTGCCCCAAAGCTATATTTTTAGATTGGGTAAATAGCTTATAAATGTGAACAATCACTAATCCCTAGGAGCAGGCTGACCCAGAGTATAAGACTACTGTTCTGAAAGAGCTTTCATGAAACACGAGAAGTTCTAATGTTACTATGCTATAGGCTTGTGGAAATTAGATGTTGACAAAAGATAAACAGAAAGAAGCAGTAGGAGGAAGGAAAGGCTGATTGGTTGGTTAAGGGTCTCTATTCTGCTGTCATTATTTTCTTTCATAACTTAATTCTGTCACTTCACATTGCCTCTTTTGTCTAACCTCGGTATTTTCTTCCCCACCCATTAAAAAGTATGCATTAAAAAAAAATTACCTGGCTTGTGAGAAGGCTTGCCATCAGAGCCAGAAAATAGTGAATTTTGAAAGGTGGCTGAGAAGTCGTTTTCACATCTGGGGGATTTGGGCTCTCTTCTTTATAAGATGAGCAATTAGACTGCATTATCTTTGCATCCTATGTGTGCACAATTCAGATTTGTCACAATAAAGACAAAGAATCTGGATTACTTTAAAAGTAAAATGCTGAATAAAACACCACTCCTAAAACCTGTGAATGGTAGTTCTCAAACTTTTTTATTTTCAGGACCCCTTAAATAGTCTTAAAAATTATTAAGGATCTCAAAAACATTTTGTTTATGTAGGTTATATCTATCAATATTTATCATATTAGAAATTAAAGGTGAGAACATTTAAAAATATTTCTTTTAAATAACAATAAATCTATTGTGTCAATATAAATAACAATTTTTTGTAATTACCAAATTTTCCAAAACAAAAATTAATGAAAAGATTGGGTCTGGCCCTAACCGGTTTGGTTCAGTGGATAGAGCATCCACCTGCGGACTGAAGGGTCCTAGGTTTGATTCCGGTCAAGGGCATGTACCTTGGTTGCAGGCATATCCCCAGTAGGAGGTGTGCAGGAGGCAGCTGATTGATGTTTCTCTCTCATCAGTGTTTCTTACTCTCTATCCCTCTCTCTTCCTCTCTGTAAAAAATCAATAAAAATATATTTAAAAAACGATTGGGTCTATTGCATTTTTTTCAAATACTTTTAATGCTGGCTTAATAGAAGGCAGCTGAATTCTTATATTTGCTTCACACATTGTGTCAGCCATGGAAACAATTACATCACATGTCATTTAGTTTCTGGAAATCTCCACGGTATACTTGTGAAGGAATGAAAGTGAAGAAGGAAATAACATCTTTGATATATTACTATGAAAATATTTTTGACCTCACAGATACACCCAGACCACACTTTGAGAAAATGGACATAGACTTAATAAAAAGCAAAACTAAAAGGAGAGTAAGAATGATTTGGGGATATTAAAGAAATTGATCAGTCAAGATAAAACAAAAATTTTTACTGTTTTTAAAAAGAAAGCTCAAGGGAAAAAAATCATATGCTGTGATATACTTCTGGACAGTTACACTAATTCATTCAGAGTTTACCAATTTAAAATTTGTCATGATTTGATTAGCAGCTAAACTTAAGGTCATCTTTGCTTAGGTTAGTGGTTCTCAAAGTGTGATCCCTGGACCAGCAGCATCAGTAAGACCTAAGATCTCATTATAAATGCACACTCTCAGGCCCCACCACACACCCACTGAATTAGAAACTCTGGAGTGGGCCCCAACAATCTGCATTTTCACAGCTGATGTTGATGAATGCTAAAGTTTAAGAACCACTGGCTTAGATGATTCTTACTTCTCTTATGAAATTATCACTTCCAGGACATGCTTCCAGGTTCCTGACTGTCAAAAAAGCCAGTTGAATAGCAAAGAATACCAAATTACAGCCCCTCCAAAAATATTGATGTGGGGCTCCTATGCTGTTTTTAACTGATGCTAACTGAACTTACTGTGGTGATCATTTTGCAGTGTATACAAATACTGAATCATTATGTTGTACACCTGAACTAATGTTATGTATCAATTATATCTCACTAAAATGTTTATAATTCTACAAAATTAATGTGATAAAATATAGGTTTGTTTTACCATGTAAACTAAATATGCAATTTTACTATTTACTTTTATTGCTGAATAGGCAGACATGGTATGAAAAGATTGAGATCCCCATTAGAAAAATCCTTTCTCAAAGGATTTTTCAGATGATTGGTCAGAGGTACCCACAAAAATTCCCACATTCATTTTCATATTTACCAAAATAATAACAAGAGGCCAGAAATGGCTGCTCTTTAATGCAAGTACCCAAGAACCAAAGAAACTTTTCCAAATCTGGTGCATTTTCCATTCTCTCTTTTTTGGTTAGTAATTCTGCAAAAAAACTTTTGTGTCGTGCCTTAATATGCATCACCAGACTATTACAAACTCCTGAAATTCTGCCTTAGAGATTTTGAATTTGTGACAATACCTTTGTGATATCTGACTTCATTACTGCCTCCAAGTGCTCCTTTAACTGAGCTATCTCAAATTTAGGGAAACAATTTTGTTCCTCACTCCTGGCAACCTGCTGCTGAAGTTTTGCATTTTCATTTTTTACTTCGTTGATTTGCTGCTGAAGTTTTGTATTCTTAGCCCTTTCACTTTCAGATATGAATTGCACATTTTTAAGTTGAGCTACCAGTTTCTCAAGTCTACATTTCAGTGTCTGTCTTTCTTCCAAGTTTTCCTTTTCACGTTTCTGAAATTCTTCCTGTAAAGACAGGAACTCTTGTTCTTGGGTCTCTTTTTCCCTTTTCAATAAGTCCAAAGCAGAAGTGGTGGCGTTTTCCAATTCTCCTCTGAGGTGTTGCAGCCTCTCCACCTCTTCTTCTTTCTTGCTTAAGGCTTTGTTCACCTCTGTGTACTGACTAACAATTTTGTTTTTTTCTTGCATTTCAGTTATATACCTTTCCTTTAGACAAACGTAATTTTCCTTGGTCCTCTTAAGCTCTACTTGTAAGGTTTCCTTTTCTTTCCTAGATTCCTGAAGATGTCTCTGGGTGTTAGTTAAAATGTCATGCAAATTCTGCAAAGTCTTGTCTGTTTCATTCTTCTCTAGCATTACTCTGTATTTGTCTTCAATTAATGCTTCGATATTCTCCTTTAGCGTATTTATGATGCCAACGCACACTTGCTGCTTGTTAGTCTTCACCTGTAGTTCTTCAACCTTCTTCTCTAAATACATGTTAGTACACTGCAAATTTTGGATCAGAGTTTGCTGCTTTTTGTTAGTATGTTTTAATTTCTGTAAAACTTCATTTAAAGCCATATCCTCTTCCAGAGGTTGTAAGCACTCCAAGTCTTGCTCTGTGTCATGTGTTTTGCAGTCCTCCCAAGATGCTCCACAACTCCAAGAAATGCCAGCAGGAGAACGAGTTGACATAATCCCTGGACTTTCCATGTTCTCCACTGTGACTTCCTTTTGGTGACTGACTGACATCTCAGGAGTGTCCTCAGAATTCTGTCTCCCCTTTGAAGAAACTGCAACCTGTAAATTATAGGAAATAAGTGTGAAAGCTTAGGATTACCTTGAACTTTGAAGTCAGAGCTGACCTTGAATTGTAGATCCCTAGTTTGGTTTCCTCAGCTATAAAATAACAACTACAATATCTACGTCCACTAATAACACCTACTTAACAAAAATACTTAAGTATTAACTGTTTAGTGTATGTATAGCACCTAACAGCCCAGCAAGCACAAACAATAGGTATATGATAAAAATATGTATCACATTTACTTTTATAAAAGAAAAATTAAACTTTGATACTCTCACCATTTTCTCTGATACAAACTTTTCTGGACACATATAACATACTTTCCTTGACTTCACATGAATTAAAACAAATTTATCAATTACCCTATAGTTTGTGAGGCCTCTTTTAAATACTTTTAAAATTCCTCATTAAACATTGCCTCATTGTGCTATATAACTCTTGTGAACACCAGAATGCCAGGTGAACATCTTGTGATTTATTTCTGCCCACAATACAGGTGTTTTTCTTGTGGGGGTGGGGTGGGAGGGAGTGTTAAAAAAGGACAGTAAGTTGTAGTAAAATAACACTGAAATGAATATGACATAAATACCCAGTAAAAGATATCTGCAGGAGTGGGATGTATAACTTTCTAGAATTTAGATCTTGGTCCTCTGTATTTTTATTTTATTTTATTTTATTTTTAGAGAGAGAAGAAGGTGGGGGTAGAGAGAGAGACATCCATGTGAGTGAGACATTGATCAACTGCTTCCTGCAATGCCCCCTACCAGGGATCAAGCCTGCAAATTTTGGTGCACGGGATGACACCCAACCAACTGAGCCACACTGGCCAGGTGGACCTCTGTATTTTAATATTTCTTCATTGTTCTGGGATAAAGTTAACTACCCTTTCTGAAGCCTACAAGGTTCTAATATCTGATCTTGATATCTCACCCATGCTACCTCTCCATTCTCATCTACTATATCCCTCTTACTCCCTCCAACCCAACAATCCTGGGCTTCCTTCAGGACCTAACAGGAACAATGCTCCCAGCAGCCACAGTTTTTCTGCACGTTAATTCTGCATGAAATGCTCTCCCTCACCTGATTACCTAATTAATTCCTACTCATCTTTCAGAGCTCAGCTCAATTCCCACTACATCAGGGAAGCCTTTTCCAAACTCCCTGACCAGGGCAGTAAAATAGCCATCTTACTTTTATTTGCAGGACCAATCATTGCTTCAAGTCTACGTGTACTTTTATGTAACGTTACATATATTTTATATATGCTTTATATGTAACTTTTATTCCTGATACTTACCATAGCTAAAAATTTACATTTATTTGTGTGATTATTTGATTAATGTATGTCTCCTCTACTAGGATGTTATTAGATGCCTGAAAGTATTTATTGACTGCATGAGTAAATGCCTACTGCAATGGAAATAGGAAGGAACAATCTTGGGAAGTCCTAAGTAAACAGATTTTTAAAATGTTATTTTCCAGAAACAAACATGGGGAAATAAAGTCCTCGTTTAAATGCTGCTTCCAAATAAATAAATAAATAAGTAAACTGGTCATACTTGCAAATTAAACATTAAACATAGCTTTTTTCAGCAAACTCACAATGAAAAACATAATGTTATTCTTTTATTATTTCTACTTGCCCACACCAATTCTTAATTTTACGTTTGTTCAGAGCATTTAGAATTTATACTATTAGCATCTTCATTGCTCTTAGGATACTACATGCATGCTCAGGAGTAATACATCAAAAGATAAGTTAATGCTTTCACTTTTGTAAAAAAATAAAGTTTGCTTGTCCATAGAAACCTCACATGATAGAAAAATTTTAAGAAGAAGAAAGTGGGAGAAACCAAGATGGCGGCATAGGTAAACACTGGAGATTGCTGCCTCGTACAACCACTTCAAAAATACAACTAAAAGATGGAGCGGACATCACCCAGAACCACAGGAAGGCTGGCTGAGTGGAAATTCTACAACTAGCAGCAAAGAGAAAAGCATACCGAGACTCAGAGGAGGCACAGTGCAGAAAATACAAAGGTGTAAAGCGGGCTGGCGGCTGAGGGCGTGGTTGTCTGTTTCAATCGGGAGGGGGTCTCAGGCTCTGAGCTCCAGTTCCGGGCGAGTCTCTGAGGACCCAGACTCAAACAGGAGAAGTGGGATTGTCTGGCATTGGTTGGAACTCGAGGGCAGCTTTCTCTCCGAGGTTTGCAGCGGTTGCTGGGACTCTGAGAGGCAGAGCCTCTTGGGAAGGGACTGAGAGTAGCCATAACTGCTCGCTCCGCCCGCCCTGTTGATCCCCTGGGACCCGCCCTGCCCAATCCTTGCACAGAGGCATTTGTGGGATAGCCTTAGGCAAAGGCTAGATTAGCACCTCTCTAGAGGACAGAAGTTCTCCCACTGCAGACACAGCTGATTCTCACACAGCTGCCGAGACATTGATCAATTGCTTCCTGCAATGCCCCCTACCAGGGATCAAGCCTGCAAATTTTGGTGCACGGGATGACACCCAACCAACTGAGCCACACTGGCCAGGTGGACCTCTGTATTTTAATATTGGGACTTTGAGAGGCAGAGCCTCTTGGGACGGGGCTCTAATGAGACCCTTGATGTTGTGATAAAGAACCAACTAGAAATTAAGCATACACTGACTGAAATAAAGAATATTATACAGACTCCCAACAGGGCGGGCGGAGCGAGCAGTTATGGCTGCTCTCAGTCCCGTCCTAAT